GAAATATGACTGCACACTCAAAGTAAAGTACCCCAACTAGAGCTATTAATTTGATATCTCTCAATGAAAACAGAAGTGAATAAATTGAGCTTTATCAGATTCAGACAAACACAAGTTTGAAAAGACTATGAGATCTTGGGGATTTTTTTTTTTTCTACTTTAAAGTCCAGTTTAGATTAAGTTGAAGTCGGAGATAATGCTGTAGAAAACAGAGACAAGGCAAACACAGCAAAGCCTCTATATTAAACACATATAAACCAAGAGCTGCTATTAGCCAACACATAGAATAATTTCACTATCAAGAAAAAAAAATGTAGAATATATATTTTATTACCCTTTAAAAATATATTTATATGTTGTTCTGGGTAACCCAGATGTTTTCTGACACCCTCAGCGGTCTGAAATGTTAATGAAAATTTACAACAATTATCACCACATCATATTTAACATCGCACTGCCTAATAAGTCAAAGATATTAGTTCAGATTGGGACAAAAGCGCAGAGAGCTGAATAGATGTGATATGCTTGTCAATAACACGTATGTGAGAAAGCTGCGTGGGAGCGTATTATCGGTACATGTGTGCATATACTTGAATTTGCAAGTAAAGAGCCTTATTGGGATTACCCACGGTACATTCTCGTTGGTATCATAAAGAGAAAGAGGGACTAGATGTGTCTCCCTTTTTTTTTTTTTTTCAGGGATTCGGTAAGCTCTCTGTCAATGGTTTGGAGTTGAATTGCCCTGGATAGCTCCCCTCATTCCATGGAATGATCTCAGACCTAATTTACTGGGCAGCTCAGGATCCAAAGCATACAAGGCTCTCCTCTGCATAGAATGTGTGAAATAGATAGAGCAGCCATCCCTCAGATGTGCTGAAGTAATCTTCAGCCAGAGCTGGTCCAGCAGGCCTCACCCCTAAAGGGATTGATGCAGTGTCAAAACCTTTGGCTCAGGGGTCATCCTCTCTTCTTGCCTCCCCAATCTGACAAAAGCTGAATTTCTTTCCCTCACCATTCGTTTCTCTTTTTTCTTCTATTGAATTCATCAGCGAGGGAGGCATGAGATGTGAGACGTGAATGAAACATTTTCATTAGAAGGGAGGAGAATCCCCGGTCAGAGACAAGGCCGGAGCTGATCTGAGCCAATGACATCCCCACCAATTCTTTCTTTCTTTCTCTTTTTTTGTCCTTCTTACTTTCCCCAGCTGTCACTCTCTGCGGTATGTGGCAAGCTGATTGAAATCAGCACTGTGTCAGGGCCGTCATATCTCAGAAAGACATAAAACATGCAGAAACATCAATAAGCAACAGGCCGCTGACAGCTCTCAGGCACCGATGCCGGCGAGGAGAGATGAGGGGAAGGTTAGGACTCTGGGGGGATGCTGTGCAGTTGAAGTGTCTTCTTCAGGCTTCACTGAGACCCAGGGAAGACAAGATAAAGTCTATCAGGTTATCGCCTAGTTCAAGTTGCTTCTCGGACAGCAAGGCCACTGGGACGCTGGATGTCAGAGGATCTGTGCGTGTGTGTGCGAGCTTACGTGTGTGTACAGTAAGCGGGTGTTTCTGTGGGTCTGTGTATGTGCTTGTGCAGGTGTACAGTATTTTGGGAAAGAGCAGAGACAGAAGTTGCACTTGCTGCTAACTGCAAACCTAGCCTGATTAAAGAGAAAATCAGTTTTCACTGCATGATGAAAATTGTGCAATAAAATAAATGTAATTCATGTGATATGCACAAGCTGTCAAATGAGTATTTTGAATTATATTTATTTGTTGTTGTATTTGTAAAATACCTGAAAATATTTAAGACATAATAAGACATTAAAAACAAGCCTTTTTTTTGTCATATGTGCTTGTAAAATAAGATTGATAATGCACTAGTTATACCAAGTAGTGAGGGCCTGGAGTTGCTTTGGGATTTTCAGTGTGTATTTAATTCACTAATGGGAGGTAAAGGTGATAGTCTGTTAGATCACAGCCTGACACTAACTCTTACCACTGCTAATTAGGCAAGTTTTTAGCCCAGAAAAACTGCTGAATCTCTTTTTTTTCTCACACCTGATAATGGTCATCACAGTGCCCTAACCTGCCTGTTTAGAATTATGATACGGGACAAATAATCAGCTTTATAGGATCCTGACTTTGACGAGGTAAATTCACCAGTAATTATCATGGCACAGAAGTGGATGAAGGGAGCAGAGTTTTGGCTGAAGTTGAAGTTTCTCCAAAGTTAAAGCCTATTATTTTTGTGTTGATGGGTTAACGTTGTGGACAGGCGCCCATCTGCATATCAAATGTGACTCCCATTATTTTATGTTTGTCTCTGCTAACAGCGCCTCCCAGCACTCCTCCATGTTCTCCTCCATCTGCCTTCTCTCCATTGATCAGCCTTCCAGGGCATCAGTCTGTTTAACATCTGCTACAAGTTCCAGCAGCTCAGGTAACTATCTAGCTGCTCTCCACCGCCTATTGATCTACATGTCCACCTGCAGGAACATCTGTTTCGGCATGTCGTTTGTCAACGCAACCAGATACCTTGTTTCGCTCCACGTCTTGTCCACTTTCACTCACTCTCACAAAGAGAATTTACACCTAAATGCTTGTTAAATTGGTGTTTACATTGTTCTAATACTGAATAGTAAATTTGTCACTCATAGTTATTGCATCTTAACAAATGGTGGGTGTAGTACTTGTTTATTATTTAATCTTTATCTTTAAAGATATATTAACATTTTATATAAAAATATATATTTAATTACACATTTGTTATTTAACTAAGACTCTGCGGCATAATCTACTGATCTTTAAGTTATTGCACTCAAAACATTTACTCTGCCTGATTATTATTTATACAGTACTCTTGATTAAGTATTATATTATTTTGCATTATAAATCTAAATAATTGCAAAATAGTATATTTGCAGAAAATCTGATTTAAACAAGATGACATGCACAAAGCAAACCACATAGCATAATGTATTTTTTGAATAAAATAGATAAATTCTTTTGAATCACATCAAGCAAATGTGTTGTAAAATATGCTGTAAATTACATTTTAAAAATAGCAGTAGTTCAGTGCTTTATATATTAAAAAGAAGACAACAGTACACATTTTATTTATTGTTTTAAATATTATTCTGGGGAGAAAGTGTGAGTGAGAGAGTCACAGGCAGAGAAGAGCTCGCTTCGTCAAATTTGTCCCCTTCACAGGCTTCCTGAGCTCGGAGGAACCGCTGTTGCACAGTTTAATTTGCTCTTTTGTAATGATGGGGCGTAGGTTAGTTAATTTCAATTTTTGATTTCAAAAGCTATCAAATACAGCTCAGATGAGAAATCAATTTTCCCAGCTGCCCTGGCTTTGTGGTGAAAAGAACTCCCGCCATTGGTGAACAGCCCATCACATGACCGAGTCAGGGATTAGTTCAGTAGGCCCATGTTGCCACCACCTCAATTACAGGCTGCCTCTTGTCATTTACCTCTATAACATCTCATTCTCAGACACAACTCATATTTAATTCATGAAAGCCTGCAGTAATTGTAATATAGATTGTTATAGAAAATTTGACCAAATTTAGACCACAACTTTCTGTTTTGTGTACCAGCGGCAGTGATTGTGTCATTTGCTGTAATTTGGGATAAACAAAGATAAAACAGTGAATGTCTAATTTTGTAATGACAAAAAATATAAATGTAGAAAGTATATAATTTAAACATTATGCAACTGTATATATATATATATATATATTTGTTTAACAAAATGATACATTGCTAAAAAATGGCAATGAAGATTTTAATTGGAAAGGTAGCGTCCTGTGTTGTACACAATATGACAATCATCATCAACACCACTATTAGGTCTGTCATGTGATCAGCTATCTGAAATGGTGACCCTGGGCAGATTCACTGACAATAAGCACTCACCTTGTACTGTTTGAGTGTAGGCAGTGAATACGTCTTTTTGATTTACAGTTGATCGGCGTAACTAGCATTAAGATGATCATATATCAATACCTTATAACCTATCGTGTATTGATAAATCAAATATAAAGGGGAGACCTGTTTGTTCAAGCCATAGATTTCACAGTATTAGAGATATGTGCTGCATGATGGCTATAAAAACAAACAATTTTCCTTCAAATAATTGTCAGAAATTCCTGTTTGATATATGTGTCTAATTGTTGACACTACAAAAAGCTCAAAGCGTTTTGGACTCTGTGTGCGACCGTATTTTACATTCTTATGATGCTTTGGTTTGGAAATTGAATCCATTCCAACATTTCTTTCTCTCAAACGAACCCTCTTTTCCTTTGCACAACACAAATTGACAATTTGTTCAGTAATCAAAGAATCTCCTTTTCATATGGATCAGTTCATGGAACAAAAAGTAGAGTGGAGGCAATTTCTGGACATATCATGAGATTATATCCGTTTGACAGTTGCGTTATTCTATGTGGTTTCCATGACAACTGGGTGAGGCCTCCAATAAAACCAACCTCAGCTGTCATCTCTTCACCTAAAAGCTTTGTAATTGCTCTCATTTGCATACTACAATTAAGTGTGTTAGCTCACAGCAAGAACAATCAACCTCCACTAAAGACTGGGGATAGCATAATTATTATATCAGTGGATTTGTATAAAACATTACTGACGAGCCTTTGTTTGACGTCGGCATTATGCTGTCAGGCTAGTTTTACCACTCATTTTTGCAAAATATACATATTACACAGACAGCGATGGGTAATGCATAGGGACAGCTTAAAATGTTGTCATTACCATTTTCATTTAGAGTTTCAGTCAAAGTATTTATTCCAGAAATTATCATTTAGGTTTCTTTCTGTCTGAGATATTTGTATCCATTTTTTTATGGGAGGCTTTTTGACTCAGTGGTGCACTTGACTAGCTAGAAAGAGAATGATTTGCAGTAGTGGGAGACAGTTTGAACTGCTGATTAAATGGAAAGGTTATGTGCATTGGGCTCTAAGCATTGTTTCTCTTTCCCTCAGATGCGCAGAGGCTGTAATGAAGAGCTCTTGAACTCCCAGTCAGAGAAGCTGTGACAGGAGTTCAGGAGGATGCCTCTTTGGCTCTGCTGGAAGTACAACACACACACACACACACACACACACACGGTACACACTCAGGCACACACTCAGGCACACATGCACCCAGAGACAGCAAAATGAAGCTGTCACTCATATATTGTTTCACAAATCACTAGCTTTTCATTTAGAGCGTTCAATGTCCAATCTTCCTACTGATATTGGAAAAATATCAAAAAATCTACCTCTGTGCTTCAGTTCTTTTATTTTCTGTTTTCCACTTAATATTATTTATTTTTGGACCAGCTATGACATAAAATTAGAGGTTACAAACTTTATATGAGAAACGTCTTCATAGAAGCATAACTCAAGTTTGTGAACTATAAAAGCAGCCGTATTTCCAGCCTTCTGAGCTTTATTATCAAGCCTGTGATACTGCGGTACATCTTTGGGCAGGTACATTTCATTTAGAGTTTTTGCCTTCAGGCCCTGAATTGAAATGGAAGACCAAATGGCACAAATGGCAAGTGCACCATTCCTAGCTCTCTGCAGCCTCCCAACACAAACTGGTCAAGCAGAAATGAGACCTGCATCAATTTTAATTTGTATTTATCCTGCTGATGACCCGCTCCTTTCACTCTGCCGTTGGAGGCACAAATTACATCCATCATAACTCTGATTCTAACGGCCCACGGTGTGCTATCAGGAAATTAACATGGTTATATACCACTGGCGGGTTCAAGGTGTCACAACACAATTATACAATCATGCAACCTGACGAGCTCTGACTGGTCGCTGGTGTATGACAAGTAAGCTGGAGGGCTACACTGTCTGTCACATCCAGGCGGGTAAGATAAGTTCACTGAAGAGTAGACTGTGCCTCAGTGTCTGCTTCTCTCTATCTAAATCAGTTAAATATCACATGGCTGCTGCAGTCTCGGGTGATTTTTATTTTTTTTGGGGGGGAGAATAAAGACCCACATCTGAACTTATCTTTGACTTGTCAGGTTTTTATTCAGCACAGCAAATTGAGCCTGCAGAATTTGTAAAAACACAAATCAGGGCGATATAACATGGGTTGCCTGTATATCATTAATAGAATTAAGTCATCAGTGAGGGAAGTTTAATGTAAAACCTTATACATGCTGCAGTGCTGTGCAGCAGCTGACTGTGACTTTCAATCAACCCTAATCCTTGTATCTCATAAAACTTAGACCAAAAAAATGAAGGGAAGCTCCCCTGCCTGGATCCCCAGTGTGCTCTCAGTGTCAAGCCATTAGGCTGTGTGAAATGAGGTGCCACTCATGAGTTATAATGCTGCACATCTATAGATGCAATGGTAAAATATAGCCCTTCAATGCTCAGTTCTCTGCTGGAGTTGGGAAAATAATTCTGCTCTGATAGTGGTCCATCCCGCAATATCCCAATTCAAAGTCACAAAGATATGAAGAGGGCTGTTGGATAAATTCAAAATAATCCACTTCAGGATAGCTGTGGGATTAATGGAAAAAAAAATGTGTGTGTTTGCTTGTGTGTGCACGAGCAAATGTGCGTGTCTATGTGAGAATGACGACTGATGAATAAAATATATCAGAAACCCGCGTAGTGCCAAAAACTTTTACATACTGTAGGATGATATTACTAATAAGATTATCGACCTTGCCGATGAAAAGAAATGAGACACAGAGGAATAAGGAAAACGACAGCAAAGTATTCCTTAAGAGTCATGAGAAGCGGTGGATATAAGCTTTCAGGAAATCTATTTGCGGGGTAAAGCATGTTCATTGTATCTAATTTTAAAGCACGTCAATAGAAGACGCACGTTTTTTTAACCAGTTGTTACAGAACTACAATCAATGAAAGTTATACTGAGTCCTGCTTAGAGGCACACAACAAAAGCAGGCTAGCAGCAGCCTGCTCTACTGAAATATTTACCCAGAGGTACTGTAGATGTAACAATGATAGGAAATAAAGCTAATAAGTGTCACTTTGATGTGACAACAAATTATACATGGTTCTATCAGATCTCATTTCCATTCCACAACACAGAGACAGAGAATACCCTGAAGCATGGCTGTTAATGGGAGCCTCTATCAGCCATCGTGGAAAGCCTGCCTCATTACTCACTCCAACACAACTGTGCCCAGGGTGGTCGATTTCCCCAACGGACACTGGTTCACAGACCAGAGACGCACTGTGCTGCATATGACTTGTTTTTCAATGCGCAGGGCACAGATGCCGTCATGCTGCAAGTGTGCGAAATCGTTTTTATCCGGAATTGATTTAATCAAAACTTTTTTTTTAATTAAAGAGAAGCAACCACATAAAAAAGAAAAAATAATGGGGTTATCAATTATTTTTTGTTTTCATTTGTGTCAAAATTATTGGTCTGATAAATGTATAGTTGATTCTATTTCAGACTACAGAAAAAATTGCCTTGTGTAGCTATAACCAGCTACCACTCATCTTCGTTTTCATTATGTCTGATTCTATACAACCTGATTGTTATTCAGAGAGAATTTTCCATTCGGGAGGGCGCCAAATACTCATGTAACCTTTTATCCCTTCCAACCTGTGCAATGAATATTTTAAAACTTTAATGTACAGTATATTGGCCATCTGAATTTTCAGCCCAAGTCCATATAATCTCAGGGACGCAGTACCTACTATTGTGGTTGTAACTGAGCATGCTGGCACTGTTTTCACAATTTGCAATCACTGATGCTCTCTGGTTTTACTCCCTCTACCCCTGTTTCTAGCTTCCCTGACAAAGTCAATAGGGGGCATCCCTCATCTGTCAAAAACAAACATCAGAATACTCAAGCTTTTTTTCTTCTTTTCTTGTTTCCCTCTTTTTGTGGACTCTCTCTCTCTCTCTCTCTCTCTCTCTCTCGCTCTCTCGCTGCCTGTTAGACGTACTGTAGATTCTCAGTTTGTCACTCATTGCAGATTATGAGATTATTAGATGGGTTGCTTGGCGACCCCAATAAACATAAGCAAGTAAGAGCAGTCAAAACAGATAAGGGAGAAAGTCCTGAAGAAGTAACTGACCCTCTGGTGACTCTCTCACCCAGAGGGGTGGCAGCAGCGCTTGCTGTGTCTGTTTCAGTGCAATCTGTGGAGCAGATGGCTGGAGTCCTGGGCAGAGAGCAGCAGGTCTCAGCCTGCATGTCACCAGGATGATGTGAGCTGGCTCCCTCCGAGCTTTAGTTAATACCTTCCTGTATCACAGACTTGTTAAGGGTCTGGGCAAAACTCTACACAAAAGAAGTCTCTCCTCTGTTTTGCTCTCTCTCTCCCTGTGTTGCCTCTCCTGGGTGGTAGTAAATGTTTACTGGTAAGT